ATGGCAAGGATTCCAGGAATGTTCTTTCTTGTGGTAAGGTAGAATAACAGAATCTTGAAAACTTGTCCAAGTTTCTCTCTGGACCATCTTACAGTATACTAAACAAAACCAAGGCAGTATTATTGGAGTTTCTTACATTTCCCCCTATTTTAGGACTGTGTAATCTCTTCTGCCAGTCCCCTCTTAACAGTTTTCTCCTTCCTTCCCCAAGATCAGTTCTACAATTCTTTAGAAGACCTATACCTTCCACAGCCACTCCATCCAAATAGGGTGAGAGGCGATACAAAATCCTGTTCCACTATTGCCTTCCATGTGATCCTTTTATAAGCACATTAAGAAAATGATAGTGAGAGGTATATGACTATATACCGTAAAGAACTTTGTATGCATTATTTCAGTCACTCTTAAAACTGCACATGAACATACCTCAGTGGCAAAACATGCTTTGCATGAAAAAGGCCCTAGGTTCTTTGAAATCCTGAAGAACTGCTTTCAATACTGAGTTAGATACCAAAGCACAGGCCTATCTGTGCATCCTTATTTAGAAGTCCTGCTGCATTCAGTCTGGCTTACTTCCAAGGGAAGATATATAGAATTTCCATCTTGTGTACATGCTTAGCCTCTATGCTGTATTAGCCCATGGATTTCAGTCATTAGTACTTTTCAGCACATGATTCCAAATGCCATTCACAAACTAAAATGAACACCTTCAATATTTATTAGAATAGAATTTGTTTGGGACTACCACAGCAGTAAATGGAATAATGAATGCCATACTGTAGTGGAAAGCTGGAGTGCTGCCATCTATTGACCCTTAATGTTCTATTTAATAGCATTTATAAAATGTCTGGTATGAGGCACTTCATTCAGTAAAAATACCTGATGTGGTGAACCTGCATCAAAGCTGGAAGGCCTTAAGATAATATCTAAAAATAAATATGTTCTTTTTATGTTAGTTTTCTTTAAAAGGTTTTTTTAAAAAAAAATTACAGGCAGCAGTATTAATGATAATATTAATAGCACATTGGATGAAGAGTACTTTAGTTTCAATTTAGTACCAATGAATTCAAGGATACATGTTTCAGCCTAATTCTATCTATGTCTGTAAGATTTAAGATCCCTTGATTTCAATGGAACATATATTACCAGATAAGTAGAAAGGTAGTCCAATACCTGAGAGCCAGTCTGGAGTAGTGGTTAAGGCAAGGTTCCTCAACCTTGGCGACTTGAAGATGTGTGGACTTCAACTCCCAGAATTCCGCAGCCAGCATGGCTGGCTGGGGAATTCTGGGAGTTAAAGTCCACATGTCTTCAAGTCGCCAAGGTTGAGGAGCCCTGGGTTGGCATAAGGCCAGGAAACCAGGAAACCATGAGTTCTAGTCCTGCCTTAGAAAAAAATGGCAAACCACTTCCAAAACTCTTGCCAAGAAAATTGCAGAGACCTGTCCAGGAAGTTGCCAGGAATCAAGACCCTCCCCCGCAAAGAAATATTAGTTGAAACACATGTGTCATACCAGGAGTGTTAAAAAATAAACCATTTTGCTGTTTTTCATTTTGCTTTGTTTTCCACCTATTTTCTCTGAAATGTTTTTCAGAGGCTGGAGCTATGCATTCTGTGGAAATTGTTGCATCATGGTTTGAATACCACTTGTACAGTAGGTCTGTTTTTATGTCCTCATATGCTCCCTCCCTCTATCCTAACCTTTGTTAAACTAGTGCCTCAGCTGTGGTACATCACTATCACTCCCAGTAGCCATGCTGACTGGATCTGGTAGTTGTAGTCCAACACACTTAGGCAGCACCAAGTTAGAGAAGGCCACTTTATTCATTCTGGAAAGCCGTTCAGCTCCTAAGTGAAGCCATATTTTGGAATGATTTATCATCAGCTATCCAAGCCTTGGTTACATCCATATTAGATTTTGCAGAGATCTCTGCTCTTTGAAAAACATCAAGAATCCCAGCTAGCGTAAAATGAAATAGCTTGCTATGCTCCAACAGGCATGCAGTCTCATGATCCCATCACTCCTATCTTGAAAGTCCTGCATTGGTTGCCTATTGTTTTCCAGGTTCAATTCAAGATGTTAATCTTTAATCCCCTCAAATGGCTTAGGGTCTGGTTATCTGATAAACTTTAAAATTTGTAAGAGGGAGTCTTAATGTCTTCATCTGCAGAGGCCCAGAAAAGCTTTTCTCCTAGTATCTAGACAAACTGCTTTTGCAGTTACAAATGGTAACCATTTTTCTCTGATTTTAGGAAGGGCATCAAGACTGAACTTTTTAACTGAACCTTTTAATTATTTTAGTAATTCTAATTATTTTAGAATTGTTGTTGTTGTTGTTTTTGCTAATGGGTTATTTTAATCTTGATTATAGACTGAATTTTTGAAAGATGTTATTTACAAATCACAATCTATAGGTAGTTGTTGGTTTGGGGAAGTCCTCCATTCTGTTGTGTTTTTACAAGAATTTTATTTTGTTTTTACAAGATATAAAAGTAGTCAGCTATGAGTGTCCCCAGAAATACAAATGTTATGGACAGAATGAACAAAACAACCAAAGGGCAAAGTGTAACAATAGACAGACCACTGATACTTAAACACTTATCTTCTGGATAGGCAAGCTTTGGATCACCAGAGTTCCATATAACTTTTTTAGGGTACTGGGGCTGCAGTTGGTGGGATAATGATGCAAAGTGGGTGGGTCCTGGATTTTCTGGATTTTTTTCTTGGACCTTGGAAGAAATTTGGAGATTTTCTTTCATTTTTAAATGATGTTAAGTCCATTGCAGGGCTCACCTATTATTTCTTTTTAGTGTGTCTTGTCCAAATGAGAGATGTTTATGCCATCAGTTTTCAGCCTCAGTAATCAGATGTGGTTCAGGGGCAAAAAGAAGGAATTCAGGGGCTACATGGTGCCCTGAGACTTATATTGTACACTATGGTCTAGGCTCCCCATTTCTTCATTTAAATGTGACAGCATTTAAACAAAAGTATGGCAGGGGAGTTCGGTTAAAACCACGTTACAGAAAAAGTACTGAATGTACACCAAACACCATCCTGTAACAAAAGCTTACCTGGATGGATCTGGCTTTCATTTTTTTCTCCTAATGCTTAAAGCCATTCATTCTTTAAGTCATTCTTCCTACTGATGTCTCAGGTTTATATCCCAAGTTTTGGACAATAGCTGATGAAGGCTTTTTAACACAGCCATCAATGTATAGCAAATGCGGTTGCATATAACCTGGTGCCCCAGACAATGCATCCACTGTGCTTCTCTGTCATCAGATATATTTTTTGAGCTCCATGCTTCAGATGAAAACACGGAATGCAAGAAAGCTTATGGACAAAATTAAAAAGAAAAGAAAACCAAGGATCCACGTATCAAAAGCAAAGCTCCGAACATTTAATATTCAGCTTCTGCCCTTCCGTGGTATTTTGCATCTCAGTGTGATGGACATGCCACCAGAGATCAAAGTATCATGCTGTAGAGATCCCACTTCATTTAGCAAGACAGTCATGTGCCAGCCATCTGTTGTAGCTGCTGACAGAAAACAGCAGCAAATTTCTCAAACTTTTGCCAAAAAAAAAAAAAAAGCTTCATTGCTCAGCAGAGATGAATTACAAGGTAGCTTGTAAGCTATATCTGGACTGCACAGTCATTTACATAGTATATACCTAAACTACAGTTCCCCCTTCTTTCTTCACAGATGCATAAACATTTGGTAAATAGAGTTTTCAGTGGGATTTATTCTTTTCTGTAAACACTTTTCAAAAGCAAAATAACCCCAGGTTCTCAGAGTTTCATACCCTGAAACAGTGAATTGCTATTCCGTTTTTGGCAACTTCTGGATTTCAGAGCTTGCAGCTATCCAGTGGATACAGGTATGGGAGGAATAGCACAACTGAGCCATAGTAGCCACACTTGTAAGTTGTGATGCTACCTTAGAAGTTTGTCCACCACCCATGCCCCAACTCCTGCAAATACTTACTATTAACAAGATCAATGGCACAATTGCATTAGCATTGGCAGCTCCCAAGTCCACTCAAAAGTGACTTCAGTTAATTTACCTATATTTAAATATGGATACAAAACATCAGGCTGTTGGCTATATATGGCCCTTAAAAGCTTTGGGTGCAGCCTTCCTGCATTCTAAGTAAATGGTAACGGTTAATAGAATAGAACAGGTAGGTTATTAAATACTAAAGCATTCATATTAATTATACTTAAGTTGAATTAAAAATACATGTAAATGAAATGGAATCAAATTTAGTTTTTCTTTTGGTTCCATTCACTATGGAATATGTGGTTGCCAACACAACATTTAAAGGTCAAGCATTGCCCTTATTTTTGAACAGACTTCGGTACTCCCAGGGTAGAGGCTAAGAATAGGGCTGGGCAGACTTTATGCACCCCCTACCCTATTTCTGCAGCCCTCAGAACTCCCTCAGATTGCGCCACAAAACCTAAACAGCAAGATGGTGATTTTAGGTTGTACAATATTTTGTCTTTTAAAACAATTGTTTAAGGCTTTAAAAGAGGTGTATTAAAGTCCTGGGTATTTTTTTTTTCAAATTAACATTAAAAAAAAACAAACCCAAAGCATTCTGACCTTACTTACTCCATTGATTTCAGTGCTCACCAGGCATGTTCCCTGTAGTCCTTGGATAACAAAATATGTCTCCCCAAGAAGATGAGAGTTGCCCTGGCTTAAAATACTCATTTTGAGGACTGTTTTGTACTGTTCCTATCTGGAACAGAGTTTCATTAGAGAGACAGGCATAGAGAAGAGACACTATATACCTTTACCTATCATAGACTTGATTGATTTACACTTCACGCGGCAGATAATTCAAGGTCCCATTTTGTAATGCCCTTCTGGTATAACTTTAAAATACTTTCTATTAAAAAAATTGACCCAGTTCAAGATATTTCTCTTCTCCTTCCTCTTCACCCACAGCCCGACAGTGCCAGGCTATACAGGTCTTTCTTCTTCTACCTACCCTTCCAGTCGCTTGCCAGGTGAAATTCATAGACTGAATATTGACAGGGATAGCTGGCATTCTTTGTTGGGCTTTTCTGAAATCATGAGTGAATGGGGCCATCTTCCCTTCCGAAACAATCAGAATATCCTCTTCAAAGCCTGTAAAAGAAAACCAATTAACCTGAAACAGGCAGAAGATTAAATCCCAACATGGGATGAAAAGCAAGCATTCAGTCTGAAGGGTTTTCACAGGAAAACATGCAGGCTCTGCCAGAGAGCTACTCTAGCAGAACTATGGCAGAAATATGTATACTGATACACACACCTATTCAGCCACTTATGGGGGTAAAGAATGTATAGCATATAAATAAGGAACACCTTAGTGCATCACTATAGTACATGGTTTTTGGGTTTGACCCCATGATATTTGGAAAGAGTTGGTCCACATCATTTCTCCAAGTCACCAACAGAGTAGAAATTTAAACATTAAAAAAATTCTGTACAAAAAGTCGATTGATTGATTGATTATGTATCATCAAGTTGTTTTTGACTCCTAGCAACCACACAGGTAAGAAGTCAATACACTTCCACAAATCCTTGTAGGAACAAACTGCTAATCCATTCAAGCTTACAGATGCCATTCTATATACATCACATGAGAGTAAATTTTCTCTGTTCAATGCTAGAATTACAACAGTGGGGAAGAGGGCACTCTCTTTCAATCTTTGCAATGGTCTCCATAACTACTCTTTCAGGAATTTTGTTTGGGGGAATCCAAAATCTAATACTGTATCTCAGGGAACTTTTCATTTTCTTTCTATAATTCCAGCACTGGTCTTACTTCCCAGTAAACATGCATTGCCTTGTATATATAATCAGAGAAGAACTATCAGACCAAAGATTTAATCCATCATTTTGTACTCTGCGGAGCAATCACACAGTAGCATCCTTCCATTAATATTTTCCTAGTAGCCATCCACAGGCTTACTGCCAAGGATACTGCAGGCACTGCACAGCCAGTCAGTGACTAATGGCAGCCTTATCCTTCAAGAAACTTCTCGTCAAGCTCTCTACGTTGGCAGCCATCAGCACATCTGGTGGCAACCGATTCCAAACTTGAACTATGCCCTGGTTCAACTCCAGCGCTGAATCCTCTGTTACCTAAGTGTTAAAGTTACCTTGGGGAGAATCCGCCCGCAAAAGACGAGCCAGTGAAGAGGGGGATGGGAAAAAGCATCTCCGGCGGACACCCCTGCTCTAAAACCCGGGGCCCTTCCCATGTTTGATAACAAGTCCCATACAGGATTCCCCACCCACAGCCTAGACGGCTAGGAATGGTGCTGCAATATATATCCGGACAGCCCCAGATTAGAGAAGTCCAAGCGAGCGCGCGCGCGGACGACGGGGGAGAGAGGAAAGAGATCCTCGCAAGCCCCTTTGGCGCGCCCTCCTTCGCCCGAGCCAGCGCGCCCGCCGGCTAGAGGAAGCAGCGCGACGCCGAGCGCGAGATCCAGCCGCACCTACCGATCAGCACGCGGGCTTGATGAGCGTCAATCCACATGTAGAGAGTGTCCTCCTGGCGCTGCGCGCCGCGCAGAAGCGGCAGGCTGGAGAGGCACAGGGTGCCGCAAAGCCAGAGCGCCGCTGAGCAGAAGTTGCTGATTCCACCGGCCATGCCGCGCTTGACTTAGCTCTTTCACAGGGTGGACGGGGCAGAAGGAAAAAGCGCGTCCTTCCTCGGGTGAGCGCCTTCACGCCTGCTCCTGCTTCCCGCTCGCTCTTCTTCGCGGGCGTCCCGGGCGGCGCCTCACTTCTCCACGGCCCGGGCGGGCTGGCGGCGGCTGTTGTCTTTCCCTGCGGCGGCTGGAGGTGGGCTTGCCTTTTGGCAGCCGCAGCGGTTGTGAGAGCAGGGCTAGAAGTGGGGAACGTGTGCTCCGGAGAGGTCGCGGAGCGAGCGCTCCGAGCCAGTCCCACTAGGCGGCGGCAGCGGTGATCTGCCAGAAGCGCGCCTTGGGGGAGAAGTGTGGGGGGAACGCGGCCTATCAGCACCGGGGCGGGGGGGAGATTTTGCAGAGCTCGGGCCTGCGTAACTGGCTTCTCACCATTTATGTAATCGTTTAATCCTGCCGTGCTTCCCCTCTACCACCTTATTCTGGTTGCAGATGGCCGTACTAATTCTTTTTTCGCATTTATAATGTGCAACTTTCTTCCTTTCTTATGTTTCTCATAGGAGAAACGGTGTACAAGCTGGAAGGCAAGGACGGATACACTTAAAATAAAAGTGATGCCATGAACGGTGGGATGTAAAAAAGAAAAATGAGAACAAAACCGTACAGTAGTTAAGGATAGTTAGTACTTTTAATATTACCCTTTATTAATGCCTTAATGCCCCTCGCACAAGTCTAGAACAAAGCAAAACTGCCTGCCCCAGCTAACACACAAGCCAACTCACTAGTCATATAGGAGCTGAGTGCACTGGTGCAAAAACATCCATGAAAACAGGCAAAAAGTTGTCATGCTGGAAGCAGCCTAGAATGCCACTTCCCTACCAAAGGAGGACGATGGCGCTGATGAGCGGCCAGGACAATCCACTTGCTTGTGTGTCAGCTTGTTCTATTTGATTTACTTCTCTTCCAGTTAAAATAACAAGAGGGCCTTGATGCAGTAAAATGCAAAACATTTACCAAAATCACATTCTATGATATTGTATGTCCCAGGAAAAATTCATACATCCAAACAAACCAGATTAATCAGCCAAATGTAATTTGAGGGCCTTGGTGCAGTAAGATCAAAAATTTCCACATAGTGGGTACCATACCTGTTCCAGGCAAAAATCAGTATTTTTATTCAACGTGAAGATAACTTTACATCTATCCATAGACAAAATCAGAATGTACTTTTGTGCTAATTAATCAGTATGTCCAACAACTTTATGCAAAAGGTGTATTTCACTAGGTTGATTTGTTTCATTTAGCATTGAAATGTTATCTTTTAGTAAAAATTAAAATCTTTATTGAAAATAAAATTGTGCTGCTGTATATATGGCATTATCAGTGTAAGCAAGCTTGGAAAGCCCCCACCCCTTTTTTCTCTCTCATAAGAATGCACCCATATTGGGCTTATCCTGAGCCATTATTTGGTTGATTTTATTTTAGTCAGTGTGAAGCTAGGAGATGTGGCTTAAACCACAGATAAAGAAATCATGACTTAAAAGCAGGATGGGCAACCTGAGGCTTCAAGGTCACATGTGGCCCCTCGATTCTGTTTTTGTGGCCTTTGAGTGCTCACCAACCATAATTGCTGAAAACTAGAAGTACTTTATTGCCATTTTGAAGGGGGAAACATTTGAAATCTGCAGGGAAAGTCCATGTAACATGGGGTTTACATGGTTAAAACCTCCACAAAGAAATAAAAACCTGATTTCTCTTGAAAATTCAGAAAAAAATTGAAAATCTTGGACTTAAACATGTGATCTAGTACAATTCACTGCCATCGTAATTTTGCCCCCTGCAGTTTGCCTCCCCATGTTAAGTGTGCTCTCCCAGGTAACAAACCATTGTCAAAGCGTGTGAATAGAATTAGTGTGTTTCTGGCTGGGTTCATCTAGTTCTTTTGCAATACAGAAGGATTGTAGAAGTCCAGAGAGTTCTGTGTCATTTATCGGCAAATAGTTTTTTTTATTCTTACTCATCCATATTTTGCATCAGAGGAGAACATGTCTTCTTTCTCCTTAGCCATTTCATTAGAGACATTGTGAAGCATATGGGACCAGCAGCCGTCCTTTTTTGTTTGTAGTTGTTGAAGTTTGAAACATGAAATGTCTATTAAGCTACAGATGTTCAAGCAAAGCAGGTATATATAATATACATATTTTACATGCTATATTTATATGTAACTTGAAGCAGAAAGGAAAGAAAATGAAACATGTAAGAAATTATGTAATTAGTTTTGCTTTTGAATATTTTTGGACTCTTGCTTTTGTTGGTTGTGTGACTCGAGTGTCTTCCAAGCCAGCAGTGGTATTTTCAGATGACTTTTATTGCACAATCACCTTGCATTATTCACAGGATGATATGATGGCATTAGATTATACACATGATGTGTAACCCTCCTGTGTTTTCCCATATTCTCACCATCCCTCTAGGCCATTGCCCACATTTGACTAGAGGATGACTTTATTATATGATAATTTGACAATATATGTCCATTAATCATGTTTTCATTCAATATTACAAACAGTAATGGCTTCATGTTACTGCCTTTTGACCTTTATTTAAAGAAGAATTTTGCACACAAAGTTGCAGTTAAGGCAGTGAGGCCCTCTGCTGGCTGATCTTCCTAGCAGCAAATTGTTAAGAAATTTTTACAGTTTTACCAATAACTTGAATCTCAAATCCCAATAAAACTAACCCATATCATACTTATTTTATGCAACTGGATAGATTTCACCCTAACCTCCTCCTCTTAAATTGTTTCTGCTATTTTTAATAAATCCTGGTGCATTTTTGGTTTTAATCTTAATCTTACTATAGATAGAAATCTCTTTCGTTGAAAATTATTTTGGCGCAGAAAAGTATGTGTGTGCACTCTAGGGCAAAATGTTATTTTGAAAAGTGTCATTGTTCAAAAACTATCCCTTTCGGAGTTTCATGACCTCAATAAATATTAGGAACAATGCAGGTACAAAATACATTTTGATGTTGCAGCAACTTCTCCTAGCACCAACCAAAATTGATTACTCTTAATATATTTCATAGCTTTTTTGAGTTTCAAAACAGAAGACACCATCTGTAAGAAAAAAAAAAGTATGTGAAAAAAATTAGCATTGCAGAAAAATATCTGCAGAATACCTCATAATTAGGATGCTAAAAATGGTACCTTACAGTGGGGCAAAAAAGTATTTAGTCAGCCACCAATTGTGCAAGTTCTCCCATTGAAAAAGATGAGAGAGGCCTGTAATTTTCATCATAGGTATACCTCAACTATGAGAGACAAAATGGGGGAAAAAATCCAGAAAATCACATTGTCTGATTTTTAAAGAATTTATTTGCAAATCATGGTGGAAAATAAGTA